AGGTACTGATGTCCATCTGAAATTGTTGCGTTGAGCTTTCTTCCTCCCAGTCCCTAATGCGTCTACTATACATATGTCTGCTGGGGAGTGTACTTTTGTTTCATTTTGATTTTTTTTCACAAAAATCCTCAGGAAGTTGATCGTTTTGATCGAGATTGTCTTGTATCAATACCATATACTCTTTACAAGAACTGGCTGGCTTGCGGGACGGGAAATCCAGAAAGAACAGAGCAGGAGGGCAACTGGGCTTTTTCATGAGGAATCACTGACTTGAAAATTTGTTGGCAATGGATGTGACTCATACGAGGTTTTGAAAGCTAGCAACCAGTAATGGGCTTTTCGGATCTTGAAAAACCTCAATCGCATCACGAAGTCACCCATCACAACTGTCAGCGGTGTTATCGGAATTTCCATCGCCCAGACACCGATTAACTGAACTTGTAGTAGGTAAATGATTAGTAAAGGATGGCGTATTTGTTAAAAACGAACCACCGTCATGTAGGAGACCCCGCAGTTTTAAGTTTCGTATGTCATCGTCATCAAAGCTGAGTTTCTCTGGGAGTCAGATATCTGATACATAGTGTCCTGTGCAAACAATGATTTCAGAATGGGAGAAACACCTTTTAGGGCCGGCCCGTGACATTATCATCGAAACATTCAAGCACCGTTCGGTTTTTTGGTAAAGTAGAGGTATTCCTCCAGCTGCAAAAAACTGCCGGCGGCAGTGGCAGCATGCAACAACGATTTGTTTTGAGCTGGGCTGTCCCCGTACCAACACTTGCAGAACGGAACCTAACCGAAGGGATTCTGTTGATGCCATCCTGCACGACTTGGCTTGGCGATCTCCTGTCTCATAACATTTCACTAGGAATAACTTTCCTTTTTGACGGCCGTATGTCGAAGAGATCTTGAGACGAATTTTTGTCTGATCTGATCATGCACACACAAGAGATTAGCAAGAAAATAGAGGCCAACTGATGTAAACATGTAGGTTGAATGAAGGACCATGTCGATGAGTGTTAGAAATGTTTGGGTAGTATTTGTAACGTTCCAGGAGAATCGCTAGCGCTTGTCAGGCCTAAATTGAGATTTGGAGAGTTATTCGAAGAAGTTGATCCTTAGGTGCTACCACATGGAATGCTCCTTGCATCAAAAATGAACCAGACCCCATAAACGTAAAGCTGGCCAACTTTTAAAGATTCAGGGAACGATTCCAAGTTAGACTCTATTCTGGGGTCTCCTCAAAGTGTTGTAGCTGTAGGAGGAGCCAAGACTAAAATGACATACATAAACGAATCAGGCCTCACTCAATAGTAATCAAAATTCCTGAATCTCTGAATCGGTTCATTTACCTCGAGGAGTTCATGTACATCCTTTCAAAGACCGTTTATTCGTTTTTACTGAATCCCTTCACCGGGGGTACTTTTTGGCACGTTTTCATTGCCCTGAGAAATTTTGAATGCCAACAATATCCGTTAGAGCTATCAAATACACAAAGGATTGCATTGGCCCATTGACGTCATATTAATAGTGGTGATGAGCTGTCCGTGAACCAAGCGAAGCCAGCTGGAAGCGAAGGCAGCGATCAATTTTCTCCAGCACTTGTGGTCAGAACCTTCCGCTGGGCACCCTATGAAGAGGGGGCACATTCTCCACTGAAGCGGAAAAGAAATTGAGAAGGTCCAACGCTTTCGACGTTCGAGAGATAACATGGGGAACATTGGTCGCAATCTCAGTTCCGATAAAATTGACGGTACCCTCATGTACTCATACTTATCTAGTTTCTAGTACTTGCAACAAAAAGTCAACTATAGTCATGCAAAAATTTCCGTAAAGGACACATCTAGAAGGGATAGGTTGTCTTACAAATATATCTCCCAGTCGTGACGTCTCTGCCATGCGCTTCCGGGTGTGGAAGAATATTACTCTCACACCTAATCACCAGATTCTATACCTCCGTCTCATTCAATCTTCACACTAGAGTAATACTGGAGTAAAACCGTCTATGAAATCATTTTGAGACAAATTTTACCTATTGGAGATTACTCGAAAGCCACTGGATTTTAGTACTACATTATCCAAATCCAAAAAACGATTGCTGCTTGATATTGCTTCACGGTTTTCTTGCTCGATGCAAACCATTTTTATCAGATTTACTAGGTTGACGAAAAAGTTTTGTCCTACTTCTTGAGTTCGGTATATCTGCTCCCCCTTTCACTTTAAATGGCCCAACAGCAACACTGAAAGGCAAAGTTATGCTGCTTCTCTCGGTAGCACTCACTGCTATGTATTTCCCTTTCTTGTAAAATGAAGTAAGATCTTCTTCTAGGCCGTCAGCCAGCACCTTCTCTCACTTAAAAGTTGCTTAAGCGAAAATTTAAGGAGGTACAGTGATCATGTGTCAAGTTATATGTACACTACATAGTTATACGAATTATAGTTATAGAGGCATACAATTCCTGCCCTCTAGTATGAATTTCAATCCAGCAACAACAAATGGAACCGCTACTACACGTATGACGCTTGCGTGGATCGATCCACGGGTTTATTCCCACATGGGCTGTCCAAGCGTCGCTTTCCTTCACTTAATTGGTACACGACTACTTGGACGGAACAAAAACATTCACCTTATCAAACTCACTGTTCATTCCATCGTCAAAATGGCTTAGCGTGTAGCTTATATACTCTAATTTAATCAGCACCAAACTTTTTCTGTTATCATTACCAGATGACGGTCTCTTTGCGTGGTGTTGTTCCCAACCCGATTGAAGGTGGGAGATTTGTTGCAAAGGATTTAAGGCTGTTGAGCCGCAACGTCTCCTTTTAGTGCGGCGGAGGCGGGAGAGGGGTGAGAACTATTTTCTCCTGAAGGAGCGAGGGGCAAAGCTGATGACGTGAAAGTAAGCACATGATCGAATGACACTATATCCCTCCCCATATGACGCCAAAAAGTCACGCAAACTATCAATACTCATAAATAATATGATAATTTGAAGGAAGTGGTTGCAGTGGGTTTCTATTTTCATTATAAAAGCTTCCAAAGTGAGCCATGGTCTCCTTCTTCTGACCTCAGCACTTCCCTAGAAGCAGTGCTTAGCTCCTACTTAGCTGACCCGATGGTACTTAACAAGCCACACTTCAGGACCCTGCTGACTCCACTTTAGGGATCCGAATGGAGGGGAAAACCTGTCAGAAATATAGGCTGTTTTTCGTCGACCAGGCATATATTCAAATGACTACCCGATTCAAAGGTTGTGGCTTATTCTTTACTAACATAAGCAAGTATCATCCTGTCGTACACACTGCTGGGTTAATTGGGGACGTGGACAGCTGTCGAGTTCCTCACACACAACAACAACTCGTTGATTGCTATTTGTTTATGCAAGATATCCATGGTTATACGGCTTGTGAAAATAGACACATAAATGCGTCGTGTTCATAAGAGTGGAACAACTTACTGAAATTTATAGCAGAACTGGCAAACTTCTTCTTGCCCAGAACCTGCTCGAGGTGCCTAAAAAGATGATAATCAGAAGGGACGAGGTCAGGGAAAAGGGGAAAGTGGGGTACGTCTTTCCGGCTAAATCCTGTCAGTTGGACTGCGTGGTATTCGGGATGTGAGCACGAGCGCTTCCATGCAGTAGATTGGCAGAAACTTTTCTCAGTCGCTTTTCTTCGATTCTACATTTTACTTTCAGTATGTACTCGGACAATTAGCCATGATAGCAGCACAGGTGGTCGCCGTCGCGTTCACAGTTACGGTCAGAAAAAGGGTACGGCGATGTTTTTGTTTGATTCCGAATTTCCAAAAGACTTAGGACTGTTGTCTCCCTCTATCCACTACCTTTCAGCTGCACTATAAATTGGAAGAAACGTGGCGAGCTCGACCGGAATGTGCACAAGCAGGCGAATGTCTTCCTGTACGACGGTTTCTTAACTCAGAAACGCTGCTGATAGTCATTTTTTGTAGTTTTCTATTCCTACAGGTGATTTAAAATATTGATTCATGTTAATTTTCTTTCCATTCTTATTATTGAATATAGAATATCACTAGCATCTATTGGGCTGAGGCAAAGGTGGCGTAGTAGCAAGTGGCGCAATAACGGACGCGCATGGTCACGTGTTCGAATCCCAGATCGTTATTCGCCTGGGCTAACCCTTCTGTCCCTCCGGGGTCGATTAATTGATGCCACATTCGTGTAGGAGGATAAAAGCACTGAAATGTACATCGGCTGACCACCGCAAGGATGTAATAGGCATGGTCATTGTATGAGCTACCTAGGCATCCATTACGTCATGATTCTGATGGAAGTCGAGTGCGGGGTGCATCCTTCAAACGGGATGAGCAATTTTGAACTCTTTTACAATTTCATTAAGGCCCTCATTAATTAAAATAAGCGATCATCACCATTATTCATGGCATTCATCTGATGATAGGGCTGGTCGGCTATTCCCTCTTTCCAGAAGAGGGAAGACTGTGAATCGAGGTATTCGCCACAGCACTTTTGAGGTCACTAACTGGCAAACTTCTTCATGCGCGGTAACTGCTTGAGTTGACTGGAAAGGTGATAGTCAGAAGGGATGATTCAGGGAAATGGAAAGGATGGGGAACGCCTTTTCATCCGAGCTCCTGTAAATTGGACTGCGTTGCAGTGGGTTGGGAGGCCGAGCGCTCTCATGCAGAAGATGGACAAAAATTTTCTCGGCCGCTTTTCTTCGATTGCATAAACGAGTCCCTGGAGCTAACTGTGTAGGTGCTGGCCGCGACTGTCTGGTTTGAGACTGGTTATACAGCATTCCGTTCGAGTCCTAAGAGCAGCACAGCAAAACCTTTTTCGTGTTATGCTCAGGCTGCACGAGCGTATATTTTCCTTCACGAAAACAGATACGACTCTCTTGTTGCTGTCTCAAAGATCCAGCTCCCATCTCCCGTCATCAGATCCTGCAAAAACTCCTTGTTGAGGGTAACGAGGAGGAACTTGCTGACTGAAACACACGAGCAACGGGGGTGGTTGGTCAGTTGGTGTGGGATCGCCTAGCAAAAACTGTGCTGCAAACGTGTTTGTGAAGGTATCAAACGACTTCCCTCTGATCGCACCAAAAAACCTCTAAAATCCATGCTAGGCCTGTTGGTTTCTGCCATACTACACTCATGTTGTGTTGCAAGGTGGTTTCCAAAATAAAGGAAGCTGGCATGCGAACCCTTCAATCAAGCGATGCATGTTTCGGCGTCACTGGAGTGCAAAATGGAGCACTCCGGACGGATCTACAGGCCATAGACGGGCAAAAAAAATTGAACTCCAATCGGCCTTATTGTTGTTGTCATATATTTTCATTGATGAAGTTTTCATTATCATTGTCACTGTCACTAGTTGGCGTTTTCATGGTGTTGTCTGAGAACCAACGGTGTAGTGGCAAGTGGAGCAATGTCATACCGATGGTCCGCTCCAAAAGCCTTAGAACGATATCTTACCGGGCCAATCAAGCCCTCTAATCCTCCCTGGTGGGCTGGTTGACACGGGATCCGTGTGGAAGGGTCAATCTATGTAGGGATTTGCACATCGGCTGGTCACCTCAATTTTGTGGACCACACACCCACTCAAAACGCCTCTGCCATTTCAAAAAGAAATTGTATGCGTGCGCGCACTACAGAAACAAGATTGATCAAGGTCAAAAGACTCCTATCCCCTCTACAACATTTCTTATTACAATCTGCACCGATGCATCTTCATGAGAATCAGTGCTTTAAAAATTGTATTTTTCAACAATCATCCCATATCCTTCTCCTCATTTTTTGAATTCCTTTGTCAAACAGCTCGATCCCAAAGTAGTCAAGCCTCAATGTTGACCAGCGTCACTATGAGATTGCGCCATACATTCAGCATCTAGACTTGCTTTCAGCTGTACTTGAAATGTTGAAGTGGTTGAGTTTGTAAAAATGGCTTGAAATTGATCTATAACAGTTACAGTCTTTCAAACATAGACCAATTGTCTAGCAGAAGATCAGATGAAGTCTCAAGTATTGGCTCTGAATTCTGATTTCAATCCTACTTCAGGTGGTACTTCTGGTTGCTAGCGCTATTGTCTGTGAGCAGAGATCTTATGAAGAACGTAAAAGGCTGTTGAAAGAACGAGAAGAAGAAGATGACGACGATGAATACTAGTCAAAAGGATATGCCTCGATCTTGATATATCAAATCAAACACTTGAATCTCATTATGCACTTAGTGCCTCCTGCTCGAATCCTACTGATCGCGGGTGTTTACCACCGCATCAGAGTCATTCTACGAGAATTCACTTTCCGTTTGTATCTCAGTGCTATCTAACTACGCAGAACCAATTTCCGTTCTATTTTGACATTGCCATTACTGACCGCCTGCTACTTTTCTCTTCACTTTTTGTTCATAGTGCTCTTGCATATTTTGTTGAAAGCGCTTATTTGTGCTTAATTGCTGCATTTCAACAGCGGTTGCATCTTCACTCTCAGCATGACTACAACCGACACCGACTATAGGGGTGTCTTAGCTCCGAGTGAGCCCCTAATGATGTCCCCCATGACTTCACTAACACCGTACTTCTACAGTACGCCAATCGACTGGTGGTCCCTTCCCCACGATTCCCATAAAAGGTTTTAGTGGACGAGAACGACGTTGGCGTGTGGCACGACATCGATGCCAAGATTGAAACATATCAACAGCTACCATTCTTTATAGCTGTTCCATAGGCGTATGGGCAGTCGGCGGAAAGTGTAAATGCAGCTTGAATCCGCATATTCGAGAAAAATCCTTCATAGATGCATAATATGATGTACCCATTTATACCCGTGATATGTATTCTATTTGAATGGTCGTGCAAGTGCACCACCTCTCAGTTGTAAATCTCTCCTCTACCCTTTCTTTCCTGATAACTTCTATCACTTATAACTCTTGACGATAACGTTTTCCTTTCGGTTTCTATTCGATCTGTGATGACATCCCAGTGCCTTTGCTGCTTAATTGCCCTGCTTATTACTCAGAAATTCATTTTCTTAAACGGGCCACATTCCTATAGCATGAATTTGCCTTCTTATGCACTCAAAGTTGTAAATGTAATGCATCGAATTTTCGTTTTTTTCTCCTCTCGAATGAAGATGAAATTCGATACTGTAGGCACAACTCACGATAATTTTGAGGTACCATTTTAAAGTCGAAAAGCAGAAGGACTGGTTGGGAACAGTGCATTGGTGGTGAAGGAACTGAAGCAATTCGTCGATTTCGCGATACGCAACGCTCCTTTGAAATAGCCAAAGTAGAGGTTGTTCGAGATTGCCATGGCGGAGATGACAAGGAATGGATTTCAGTTGTTGCAATTGCGCAAAGAGCTGACTACACAAAGCCAAAACTGTCCAAAATTGCCTTTCACTGTCCCTATGGGTAATGACAACTTGATTGAAGTTCCTACATGGGTTCCCTTGTGAATGATGCAGTCTCTACAATGCCGTTAAACTCGTCCGCGCATCACATTGGACAATTTTTGAGCCTTTGTAACGCCCTATCCGGGCCGTTTTATAACCCGACAGCGCCATAAGTGTTGTACGAGGGGGCCACAGATTTANGTGTGTGTGTGTGCAAGTTTGTGTGCACAGGTATAGGGTAGGTGTAGGTGTAGGTTAGGCATGGCTGTGTGTGTGGGCAAGGGTTCGATCCCCATCCCCAAGGACCTAAAGCGTTCAAATTTGGTAGCCGCACAGGCAGCCGGATAGAAACACTGATAGTAGCCGAGTGGACTAGATCCCGCCCACTCGGGGCGGAGCGTGCGCGAAAGTTTGTTCGACTCGACTTTTACTATTCCTGTTTTCGTGGACCTAGAGCGTTCAAATGGTAGATGTGCATGAGGCAGGGATGGAACATTGTAGCGGGGAGTATTTTTGAAAGGGGAACTTACAACTTCTCTTCTATTTGACCCAACGTGTCACGTTAAGAAAGGATACACGCGGCAGGCCAACTTTAACGTAAAAGGGAGGAAAGCACGGCGGAATCGGGCAATCCTCCTAATGTAATATAATGCATCCAGCAATCCAATTTCAAGGTTACGTACATTGAAAGAAAATTTAGTTTTGTAAAAATTCACCAAATTCCAATATTTAAACCCACTCAGAAAACTCGATAAAACGCAAAACACAGTGACTTAAAAAGATTGTAAAACGTGCAAGATAACAATTAGCGAAAATTCTTTGTGATAACAGAGGTTTCGATGAAGAATCAGTTAATCATTCGAGTAGGTGGAGTTTAGTAGAGGTTAAAATGTTAGGAATAAATATACAGAAGCTGGAATTAACCGAAATTGATCAATTACGTCTGTATGGCTTTGCTAAAGAGAAAACTTGTGAACCCAGATAGGAAGAGATCATCACAAGCTGTTTTCATCACCGATCCAACGAAAGGGAATGGAAAATGTGTTCCTAGTCAGAAGAAGTGTGACTCTCACTTTTCCAACAGAAACTGCTTGTACAACTTTTCGTGTTCTTCGTTGTCAAAACTGGGCACGAAATTCACATGGACCACGGAGTCGAATCCTTCTGATAGCTCTGGTTTCTAGAAACAGACTTGTGAAGAGAAGCAATTATCAATGCTCACATCTAACTTTTCGAGGGTTGCTTGGTTGGTGACTTTTTGCTTATGTTTCGACAAATTGTCTACTTCACGTTTGTAGATCGGATAGATAAGAGGGATGGGATGTCTTTGGGTGTTGATAGAAAATGACCGAGGGAAGCGTCCTGCATTCCATTCAATTTATAATCGCTGTGGCATACTGGATGCGTATGTGGCCTATACAATGACAGGTGGTGGAGACCGATGTACAAGTCAGTTCCGTTATCCCCTCAGAAGAGTATGGTA